GAATGCAAAATTTGCATATTTTGCATTAGTCATTTATAACCCTCTTCAGCTATCCGCAGTTTTTCATGTTATTTTATTTACCATTAAAATATCATATCAGAGATAAGTTTTATTATGTACATCATACATATTTATTTATTTGTTTGTTCTTTAACATTTTATTAATTTTACGCTTGCTCATGCAATTTTATATTTCAAGCGATATATCGGTAATAATAAAATGAGTCACGAGTTATCACGTCGCGGTCGTATAAATAATATTTACACAAAAAACGTATGCTGTACATAAAAATTCGTGCAACACGTATCTCAGTTTTTCCAACTAAGAACGACAGAACAATTGGCGCAAGAATCTTATTATGAAACTCAGCAACTTATTTAAATTTGTCACAACTATTTGGCTGTTAGCATATAACGATCACAAAATCCACACCGGATAAATTTGATCCAGATTTTACCGTGTAAGTTGTTAATTTAAGTAATTTTATCATAATTTTATTATAATTATATAATAATGATATATTAATAATCAATTTTATAAAAATCAAAACTTAATTTTTCTTTTGTCATTTTGTTCGCTTGAGATACCTAATTCACGCCTAGATTTGTATACGATCATCGCAATATAAAACTATCTGTCGCAAAATAATCAATGAAATAATATTGACGTATAATACTTTATTATTAAAGTATTTGCTTTTGCCAACACAATACTTGCAATAAAGTATTGTTCTTTTAAAATTATTGTTGCGCTAATTTTAAAAAATTCTTTAAACTATATTATATCAATTCACTTTAAAATATTCATACATTATCTATGCGGCATCTGCAATACGTTATTAAATGACAATTTTATCAAATAATAATTTGTGAGAATCATGAGTATCTTATAAATCGATATTGTTTCTAATAATATGAAAACTACCAAACGATACTACCAACGATAAATACTATATCTATCTGTAGACGCCATAAACTCCATTACGATACAATTATGCCATGCTAAGTGAAGCTTTAATATGTATAGGATCGTGCAGAGCGCATTTAGTTACACGCAATTAGTATGACTCTTTGGCGCAAGCGTTCTTTTACAGATTTTAGTAAAAAAAACCAATATTTTTTTAAATCTCTATTTATTTACGTATCGCGTTCTCTACCGTATTCGCCCATTGTACGTAAATTTATTGCAAACTTATATTCTGCAAACATGTGTATTATCACGACGCACGTTGCGTTTCCCGTTTTACTCATTGACGGAGAATTAACGCCGCAGGTATACCGCTCGTTTAGATGCACCATGTATTCAGCAGTATCGTTGAAATTTTTAAATGTTAATGGCATCTTCCCCTTCGGCTACGGCAAATAATGCACCGATGGAAATAATGCTAAAAAATTTGCCCTTTTCATTGACTTATACAATAAAGCAACGTACAGTTCTGCATTGGAAAGAAATTTTATTTTATGCGTCGTAAAATCGCGTCTGGTTACCATGCTATCATCGTCAAACCATAAATTATGGCGTGTCCGTCGTGCATTAGTGATAAATGATAATTATATCTTTGTAGTGATCCTAGTTCTAGACCTTCGCCCGGCCCACGTATGCCATAGTCATAAATGATTTCAGCGAGCTTGGCTCACCGATCTCATCTCGTTGTGATTATGCGTCTACAAATCACCTTATGTGACAACAATGCTAATATTAGAATTATTAGCGACTATTTAAGTAAATTGAAAAATAAAATTCCGTACGGCAAAGCATAATTTAAAGATATATAGTGCACAATATCGAACGTATTGTATTACTGCTGATATCAATTATGTTATTATATTGTGAGATAATTTTACAAATTCTACAAACCGTCAAAGCATTAATTTTAAGGTTTTATTAATCTTATTAGCTTTATTGGTTCATTTATAACGGAAATGAAATATCCTTCATACAGGAAATTTGTAGAAGAAAATCGCAGAAGACGTTAATCAAGTGCAATAAAGTCTTATCTTCAACTTCCTTGATGTGATAAACCATTTTTACTCATTTTTTTAATGAACAATGAACTTTATTAGATTGACAATCAACGTTTAATCAATAAATTTTGCTTTAGTAGAAAAATAAATAATAAAGAATTACGTAAGTATAATTTCTCCTTGTATCAATAACTATAAGTCATTGCAAATCTTATTTTATCTGATCTTATATGAACACCTCACAGGAAATTTCTTAAAACTCTTTAAGGTAGCAGATAATGATAAACTATCATAGAAGAGAATTAATTTGATCTTTATCTTGCAAATAAATAATAAATCACAGTTGTCCATGAAATCTTTTGCACATACATATATACAATTACACATGCATCTAACAATTTAAAAAACTTTTATTATATGTATAGCGTGTATATTTTATATATAATGTGTATATATAAATTTATGTATAATTAATTGTAATATATGTATATAATTTATCGATTTCTTTTTTTTTAACTTTTGTTCATTGTACATTGCCCGATTCCATT